CCGGTCACCTTCAGGGCCGGCCCGGAGGAAATGTCCCCCCCTGCCAGTGCCGCCCCCAGGAGGTCCGGCAGGCCCGCCGGGTTGAATCCTGCGAGCAGACACGTTTACCTCATAACGGTTTCACGCCCTCTTCAACTCTCCCTTACGGTACTTGTCCGCCATCGGTCTCGCGCCCGTGTTTAGCCTTCGATGATCACCCGCGTCCCCAAACAACCCGACTCCGGGGAGGCCGGCTGACAACGCTAAGCTCCGCCCCCACAGATAGCAGCATTGTTGCCAGCCCGCCTCGTGCTCTCCTTTAAATCTGCAGCCCCAACAGCCAACGCAAGCCACAAGCAACAGGAAGTGCTGGAACGGGCAGGATCTCCGGGGAGGAAATTGGAACACTTGCTGTAAGAACGTTGTGCAGAGTATTCCAAACATACAGAAAATACATTTTGGGTTTATTTCCAATTTAAACAAGTTCACGGCAGAGGCCCTGCGCTGCACCGGGGGCTCATATACACGTTACATATATGTGCGTGTGATGAACGTTGATCTGCAGCGGATACAATGTAATTGTGACTCTCTGACGCTTCACGTCCATCAACGGTCACAGGCAAAGAATGTCACACGTCATGTGTATCCAAAGCAACCGTGTAACTTGGAGCGTGTGATCGGGACACTGAACACGCCAACAACCATGACCTCCAGTACAGGGTGTGACAAAGGGTGCTGCCAGTCCTGGAAGGGACAGCCAACGGGGGGCAGGGACGGGCAACGGGAATGGCCGACAGGGGCAGGGACGGTCAACGGGAATGGCCGACGGGGGCAGAACAGCCAACAGGAATGGACAACAGGGGCAAGGAAGACCAACAGGACAAAGGCGGGGACGGGCTTCGGGGCAAAGGCAGGGACGGGCAACGGGAATGGCCGACGGGGGCAGGGACGGTCCACGGGAATGGCCGACGGGGGCAGAACAGCCAACAGGAATGGACAACAGGGGCAAGGAAGACCAACAGGACAAAGGCGG